CTCCCCTCCGCGGCCCCTCGGCTCTCCGCTCCCACACCAGGAGCTTTGCTGGCCTCCTCCGAATCCCCGGCCCACTCGGGGAGCTCTGCTTTCTCACACTCGGCAACCTTGCTCTTCCGGTGACGCCGGATGCTGTTAAAAAACCCTTTCAAGCCTTTTTTGGGTCTGGGAAAGGAGGACTTCTCTCCGTTGGGCTTTTTCTCACAGCCCTCGATACTCCCGGGCGGAGAGCTGTCCTGCTGGCCGAAATCAAACTTGGCACTGGTGTCTACGGCCAAGTGAGCGCTTTGGGAGCTCGGCAGAGGGCAAGGATGCAAGTCCCTGCTCCCCTCGGAAGGGCTTTCCAGCTGCGCCCCGCCGCCCTTGTCGTACGCAGCACCACTGAGCCCGTCGTGGGTCTTACACTTACTGAGGCCCTTTTTAGAGGCTACTTTCCCCTGGCCTTTGCTTCTGCCTCCAAAGAAACTGGGCAGCGTACAGATGCTCCTCTTCCCTCCAAACAGTTTGAAAGCCGTTTTCTTCAGCTTGCCGGGGGGCGGCTGAGGCTGCTGCGGCTCCGCAGCCGTGACGGAGGCATTGCCCCACTCGGGCAGCCGGTCCCCGTTCTCCTCCCGCTGCGGGTCGCTTCCCTCCCGCTGCCCGCAGGCCACCGACTGCGACCCGGTCCGGGCAGGCTCCTCTGTGCAGCCCGTTTCCATGGCAGCTGCTCGGTTTGGGTGCATCTAGCTGGAAACGACGACTGTGGTAGCGGAGTCCTCTTCTGGGCGCAGAGCTCGAAGCATCACAGCTGATCTAAAGCAAAGAGAAAGGGGAGAGAGGTGAGGCGACGGCGGCGGACGGTGCAAAGCCAGAGGCGTAAGTGTCACGAGGCGAAGAGCTTCGTCGCCAGCTGGAACCGGAGCTGCAAAAGCCTCCGACGGCCACTCAGCTCCCTCCGCTCCTTAAATCCGGGCACGAAAACATCGCGATGCTTCCATCTACCAGTTCGCAAGCGCAAGAAAACCACGGGTCTCCATTCGGCAGCATTCCCGCTGCCCAGGGACAGGCAGGTCCGAACCCTGAGCCACCTCGCCCCAACCCCTTCGGATTCCCGGCCTTTTTGCCACCGGGGCGATGGGGTTTGGTTCCCAGCTGCCTTCGAGCGGGGAAACGCGGGCTGCTGCGGCAGGGAGGGAGACTGACCCCTGCCAAACCCCGCTTCCAGCTCCCCCAAGCCTAACGCCGAGCTACGGGGAGCATTTGGACCAAGAGCCAAACCAGGACGCAGCCCTTACACTAAGCCTGTGTCCAGGGAGAAAGCTGTTTACTATTTTTTCTTTTTTTTTTTAAGATTTCAATTGTTTTTGAAATCATCTGTCCAGCGAGAAAGAATTGCATTAAAAACATCTGCTGTGAACCACCCTGATCAGATTATCTCAGAAGCAGGGAGGTAGGTTTTAAATTTGATCCTGGATTAACGTCGGTAACAGGAGAACTAAAATAATAACGTTTCTTTTGCAGAGGTGAGGTTGGAGATAGCAAATGCAATAAAAATCGTAACGCGCCGCCGAGCTGTAACGCCCGAGGCTTCGCTCTTACCGGTGTGAGGCCAGTGAAGCTTTCCGTAGTGTTCAGCCCAAATTAAAAGTACACCCAGACAACGGCCTCTAGCTCCTGCGACCCGACAGCAAACCTGCAATTTAAGATTTATTTTTCCCCCCCCCCCCCGAAGTCTGGGGAACATGGCAGCGTTGCTTGGCCTCTATCACTGACGATAACCCACCCCACTCAAACCAGCAGCTGGGGCGAAGCTGGGGGGCGAAGCCTCCTTCCCACCGCCAAACTGGGCTTGTCCAGCTCTGCCCCGGAGCACTCTGCAGTCCCGGGCGCCTCCGAAGCCTCGCTGGGGCACGGCTGGGCTCTCCCTGGAGCCCCTCTGCAGAGACCTGGTTAGACAGGCCTGAAAGAAAACCCCACGCCTGCATCGGTAGGCACCGACTGCTTGGAAAGTAGGGGAGGGGATGACCTGAAACAGAAAGAGGATTTAAGAAATGCAATTGGGAAATTGTTTTGCTCCGGCTCCACATCAGCGCTGGCATCAACAGACACCGCTGCGAGCGGGCAGCTATTCCTAGGCGCTCGGAAGATAAAGCCACCGAGGGCAAAGAGCACGGTAGGAAGAGAGGAAAACGGGGTTTTTCTTAAAAAAGAGAATAAGCACGACAGCAGCCCCAGGCTGCCCTCGCCCCCGCCGGGCTCCGCGGGGCGGGC